ATATTTTTCCACCAGCTCGGTTTCTTCTGTTCCCTTATTTCTCTTCGCGGTAGTTTAGGTAAGCCTGAAAAAGCTACATCAAGCGTCCCTCTCTCCGACTACTTAACCGCCTCGGTCTCTCCCTTTGCACCCCGCGCCGTTCTCTTCAGTCCGCCACGTCTTCCGTGCACATCTCGGCGGGGAAGCCGACGGCGAGGGTTCAGCACAGAACCCCTTCACAGCTGTGCCGTCCTATTACCTCCGGCAGTCATCTCACTGTCACACTGATCAATGATTCATGCACACGAATAGGGCTTTGGCCTGTTAGCTCGCTGCACTGCTGCTCGCTGTCGCCATTGTGCCGCCGCTGCTGCCACTCTCGCTCCAGTTATAATGACTGGACTCACTCGGAGTCTCTCTCTCTCTCTCTCCAACGTGTGATGGCTGTGTGTGTTTTTGTAGGAGTGCCGGAGAGAAAGATGGACACTAAAGAGAGATAGACATACAAGGAGGGGGGGGAAGAGAGTGAGAGTGAAGGTTCATGCTGAGCGCATGCTGCTGGCATAACTGACTGCATGCTGTGTCGAAGCGTGTGTAGAATTGTGTGTGGCCACGAAAAGGATCAGAAATGTATCAAATCCAATAAACCAAGAAGTGAGTGGAACCGCTGATTCTTGAAGTATTTTTTTTGCTGCTGTACATTTTCATTTTGGATTATTCTTTTGATGATGTTGTGAATGTTCCCAATTATAGAAACACCCGGCGCACTGGTGGCCAAGTGGTCAAGACACAAGCCGCATAACTGCAACGTTCCCAGGTCCACTTCACCTGGGGACTTGTTAGTTATACCCGCTTCCTTTCCTGGCGGTTTCGATACAATCAGCTGACCGGTAAATATTTTAGTCCAAAAATAAGGAAACGTAGACAAAGTGGAGTTTCCTGGATGAGTTTATAATACCACTGATACCATATGTTTATGTTATCATCTTCGGTTTGAATTATTTCTACTTTGATTCTGAGAAATCGTGTTTTTCCCCGACATGTTTGTATAACAGATGGCTCTAAATACTACAATACCCATAATCCTCAGCCGGCGAAAGATGCAAGACAGTGGCAAGAATCAGAGCTGTAGCATTGTAACATTGTGTGCCTTAATTCATGTAACCCAGAGTGAGACACAAAATCCACTTAAAGGAATAGTTCGACATTTTGAACAATACGAGTATTGTTTTATTTCTAAACTAGTTTTGGTACCTTCAGTATGTGAGTCATCATGTTTGCATATGGCAAATTCTTCTCTAACAAATGACATTTGATTGCAAATTCGCCTGTGTGGGGCCTCTTTCTCCTTGGAAACCCCTGTGGGTTCCCTGACCTTGGAACCCATCAGCTATCGGTCTGAGGACGGATAAGCCTCTGGGGAAGAGGGGCAATATATCCGAGGGACCAGTCGGTATCTGAGCAAATACTTCCTGTTCTGCACGCTGCTGGTCGTTTCCACTCCGATTAGCAACTTGAGTTACAAAACTGGAGGTGTAGTTGAGAGACGACATGTACGACCGGACTGTTTCTCGAGAAACAGCTGATCTCCAACCAATAACAAGCTAAATCACCATCAGACAATAGCCGATGGGTTTCAAGATTGCGTTTGAGCCTCTCCACACTGACTGTTTACCTGCATTCAACCAAAGACTGCTGCACTCTGATTGGTCAATACCTCTCGGACTACAAACAGACACCAGAAAGCTTCCGATGCCAAAATCGTTTCCCCTCGCCTCCAGTTTCGACATAGGAATGCAGCATCTGTACAACGATGTACATTTGACCCTTTCATCAAACCAGAGGAACACTAACGCGGGTGCTCATTTGACATTCAGCTCACTAGCTTTTTTGGCAACAATATCTCTAATGGCAACAATGACTACTCAGCTACAGCTCTGCGTCCACCTGGGAAAAAGCAGTAAAGTAGACCTTGAGTTAGATTTGTAGATTTGTTTTTTTAAGGTTAACATTGAACCTTCGCCTTCAGCAGTTGCTCATGTTTTGTACTCATTCATCAAGTTTCAAGCCTTGGGAGAGCTCCAACTACCAGCTGCCTCCAGCAATTAAACGAGACTCTGGGTTGCGGAATCCTGGACGTCCTTGCCTGTTGCTCCTTTAACTACTCACTTTTTAAAATACCCAGAATTAACTTGGTCAAGTGTAGAACAACAAACATGCCGTCACTGCTCTTAATATTGCTGTGAGGACATCAGCTCCTCAAAAGTACAAGAGCGTACACACACAAGCTTGCACTCTCCACCACCGTCCTCTCCTCATCATGCTCCCAGGTCCTTATCCCTCCTCGCCTCGGTGTGTGTGTTTGTGTGTGTGTGTTCGTGCTCTGTGGCCCTAGATGCTAAGTGGTCCAGCAAAAGGTCAACAGCTATAAAACAAGAGACCGAGAGAGAGGCTGATGAGCAGGAGCAGGATAAGTAGGGTCTGAGGGGCTTTCGAGGAGGGCTGGAGTGGTGAGGAGGAGAAGTGAGGACTGTCGCCGCAGAGTCATTACTGGAGTGGCTAACACTTGGCTAACGTAGGTGTGGGGGGGGGTGAAACAAGGAGAGGAAGAAAACCAATCTAGATGAGAGGAAGTTAGGAGAGAATGGAGCACGAGAGACCGAATGGCGGAAATTCTAAATGTATCAGTTTAGGAATAGCTTGTCAAGCCTCTCCGAGCCCTCTTGCAGACTAATTCATGAAACTATGATAGGTTGCTTCACTCCACTGCGCAATATAATGCAGTACAAACGGCGGCGAAGTGTGCAAACCTACATCTGTAGGTGCGACGCTATATTTCAAGTTTAATTATCTCCGCCACACGTAAACCCCGGGGGAGGAGATTATGCGGTCGGTCTTGTGGGCGTGCGCGAGCGTGTATCTGTCCGCTGCTAATCCCACATACTACTGGACCCATCGGCATAATATTTTTCTGCATTGATTTGTACTGCCTAGTATTCCATTTTTCTAACAGAATATTTTTTGGGGGCTTTTTTGCCTTTATTTGATCGTCAAGAAAGGGGGAGAGAGAAAGAGGAGACAAAATGCTGCAAAGTGTACATGAAGTGTACTCATTCATTTGCAGACGCACCTGGCGGAGATCTGCACCGTACTGAGTGCACTTTTCTTGTTCTAATACAAGAGAATTGATAATTGAATGTGGTACAAAGGTAATCTCTGCGGGATTGTCTCTAAACCCAGTATCACTGCAAACTAAATGTGATTTATCTTCAACATGTTTTTTCTGTGCGTTTTCTCTCCACCTGCCCGTTTCTGAAGACGGAGTACTTACAGCACCAGACAACCAGAAGGGACTTTGCCGGAGATTAAACCCATGAAATTGAATGTACAATTCTTGCGTTACTGTTAGTCGCCCCCCCCACCACCACCCACCACCATCAACAGAACGAGTCATCACAACTAATTTCACAGCAATGTGTTAATAAGAAACCCTCCACACACACTGCATCTTTCTAAAATGAAAATGAGAAAACTGCAGTGAAGTAGGGAAATAAACTTCCCACTGATGTGAAGAATCTGCTCGTGTCCGTGTCTGGACTCGTCACAGACTGACTGTTCAATTAGTCTGAACTAAATGATGCATGGCGTCTCCCTCACGGCCCCGGTAGTCGTCAGTGTTCTGCAGAGAAGAACTCATATTGTGCATGAGTAGATGGCTAAACCGACGGCGGCTAGGGCTAGTCCGGAGTTCAAATGTGCGATTCGCTGATCCCCCACAGATGCCCGAGTGGACCATGGGACCAAATTGGCTTCAAGTCTCTGAGCTCATGATAGATTTGCTTTGCAGAGAAAGTGTTTTTTCTTCCTGTGCTTCTGCATCATAAAGTGACTGCAAATATCTTTTTGGAACTATCTGGAGTTTTAATTAGGTGTTCTTCATCAGCTGGCGGAACCATGTGCGGGCGAGCGCGTAGGTCTGACTGAGCATGTACGTGAAACTATAGCGGCAGGTACATTTACGCCTCGAGCGTGCCGCACCTGTGCGACACGTGTTCGGTCGTGCGTTTTAATTGTGGATTTGTTTTCCTAAGCAGCCATTTTGTGCGAGGGCTGGCAAGCGCGTGTCAAGCGCTTTCTCTGGGTGTCAGCAATCAGCAGACAGGAGACAGACAGCGGGGATGTTTGAAGTCATTAGAAGTTCCCTTACCTTGATCTGCATTCAGCAGCCATCCTCCGACTGCCACCAGCGCATAGTAACTTTGTGATTTGAGGCTTTGCTTTTGTTTGATGTTCCGAATGTGTCAGAGGAGAGAAAAACTTGCAATGATTTATTGCATTTGCTTTGTTCCCCTTCACATCAGCAAAGGGGGCATTCTCTTACTGAGATTCTTGAACGTGAAAACTACAGCAGCGTTGGTGTACAATGACACGTGAATGGGAACCCGGTGATTGGTCAGAGGGAGGTGAATGTTTTACCCAACATTTTATTGACAGCCTTGCAAGGCGCTAATTAATTTCCTTAATGGCCAGGTGTTAGTTTGTTTTTTATTTAACGGCATGCCGGATTGTTGTCCCAGTAAACAGTTTTATGGGTGGGAGGGGAAATCCAGTATCCTCCCATCCTCCCATACCCTTTGTTGTTTAAAAGGCCCATATGGATTGTGAATCGGCAGCAGCTTTCAAAGCATCATTAGTCATACATAAAAGACTGTGTTAGCGCTTTAATGCCAGCCCTGGGCTCCGGCTCTGAAGATCTGCCTTAATTGCCCACCGCTGCCACGTTTCGTGCGTCTACTGGACGCGGATGTGTTAAGAGTTTGCGTGTGTGTGTGTTCTTTGTGTATTTACTAATTGTCCGCTGCCTTGCCGGGCTCTATTAAGCACACAAAGTGAGCAAAAACTGTGCGGTGAGCATTAAAGAAGGTTCAGACACACCTCTCCGCATGCCTTGAATAAAAATCCTTTCTATCTGCTTTTCCCTCTGTGTGTGTGTGTGTGTGTGTGTGTGTGTGTGTGTGTAGCGGTCCACCTGTTAGGTCTGACCTGGCATCTGCGGCACGGCGAGAGCCAGCTGTATGAGAACGGCTTGAGCTCGGCGGACCATCAACAGGAGGACCGCAGCAAAACCAGGCCCACCAGCTCCATTCACCTGCTGGACACACTCAACCCGGAAAACACACACGCCGGCGACAAAGGTGAGCTGGCACACACGCAGCACATGTTCTTCACCAACAACAACAACAACAAAGCACATGTTATACAGTATGTTTGTCTATTGAATGAATGCTGGCTTGAAGTAGTTCAAACACTGAAGCTACGCTGGGCTCCTTTCTTTGTATTTATGTGACATTTTAAAAGCAATAAGGCAAGTGGGCAGTTAAACCAGCGGGTTGTTTTATAAAGCAAGAGTAATAGTAAAAGCAGGCTAATTTCAATTTATTTCCAGGAAATTCAGTTACATGAAGGAGGTTTGAATAAGTCCGACCCAAGTTACCATGGAAACGTGTCCCTCTACTTCAGCCATGGTCCTGGTCGGGCCGGTGTGTTTATGCTGACTTCAGGCTTTATCTAGTGCATGTGAAATGTATCACGTTTTGACATGAGCTGCCTATACGGCTTCGTTAATATCTGAAGTCATATGTTTTTCAGTCTCAAGGGGAAACTTCACTGATTTTTCACATCAAAGTGTGTTTACTGGTGTCGGGGAGCACAACAGTTGCTGTAAACAGGTTTGTGGCTGCGCTGAGTCTGATAAATCCTGTTGGAGCTGAACTTAAAAAAAATACAAAATAAAATCTCATCACTGTTTGACGGCAGCATAACACGACCAAATCTCTGACAGAGTTGTTGCCAGTTGAGTTGCATTGTGGGGTCATGCAAGTGCCAGGTTTTGACAAGGCATGAATGAAGAATGTCTGGAATAATAAAAGCTGATATATCTCCAGTTCTGAACTGTCAACTGTCTAAACTGTCAACTGACTGTTCAATGCCAGGACTCCTTTAACCATATGCACCGTATTTCAGTCAACATATGTGTTTTTAATTGCACTGCAAATAACTTTGAAGCCAACCTGTAGCCTCGTGTGCAGCCTGCAGCCAACATTGTTCGATTTCAAATGTGTCCTAAATGAAATTAAAGAAACAGACAACCATAAATCAGTCCATAAAAATACACAAGGGACAGACAAACAGTTGGTCTTTAAACAGTATTTCCATGGATGCTGTTCTGTCACTTACACAGCACAATCCAACTCATATAGTTTCAAAGGCGAATTACTTTCTGTCATAAAATAAGTTTGGTTATAGTCTTATTTTCAATATGCCAACATTGTTAAATGGTATGTTGCAACTGATCATTATCTGCAAATGTCAGACAAAGAAATCTTGCAATATTACGGTGTGACTTGAACCCAATATGAATTACGATTCTCAGCAGTGCTTTTGCTGTAATATGTATTACATACTTAATATCTGCTGCTCTGTGTCCGTGAGCGATGCATGTGATAATCTTCCCTGTGAATTGAGGTGATAAGTACTTGGATGTCAAAGGTCTGTGCGTTCCAAAGTCATGAAAGACAGCAGAAGTGACTTTGTCTGCTAACATTAGCGATATATCAAACAGGCTTTTCAGTATAGCCTTAATTAAACACCCCTGAGCCAAGACAACACACACACACACACACACACACACACACACACACACACAGAGGAAGGTCAGCTCAAATACATACATGTGGAATCAGGTCACATACTGTAGTGATTTCTTCCATAGAATATTCAGCTCATTGTACTTCTGTTTTTCTCTTCCTGCAAACTTAATTAAATAGAAATCCTCAAAGGACACTCCACCGGTTTTTTTTTTGCTACAGGATTTAATGGGAGCACAATTATTGAAATAGAAGGAAGACACGAATTTCCTCTTGAAATTGAATACGAGCATTTAAACAATGCGATTGGAACATGTTGAGACTATATATCCATTGGCATGAATTCCAATCAGCCTCTTTTTCACATCTGGCTTGCATACATAACACACCGGGCACAGTGAATGCTCCGATACGATAGAGAGACATCAGTCTGGAGATCAGCCTCCAACTGATTACTCATTTATTAGAAAGGCTAGGTAATTGGTTAATCATGCTCCCTCTTAGCCGGTACGTGACTGGAATAGCCTTTCTCCACTCGGCCTTCTCTCAACTAGCCGGAGGAATTACTAACAGCAATTTAACCCCTGTGACATGGGACATTAATTGTGAGTGTTCCAGGTCATGAAGTCAGGCAGGACACGGCAACCTTCACGCTGAGACTGGCTCTGATGGATATTACATCGGATGCCGTTGGAGCCCATGTTCAGCACTTATGTGGAGACTGTGCGAGCCAAACTGCAACCCGCTGCAATTTAGGCAACCTGAGACATCCCTAAAGCAACTATTCTTGATGAATTCTCACATTCCCAAGGATTAACGCTCTCATCAGTAGCTAAGTCCTCCGATAGAGCGCGCAGGGGTCACGGGGATTCACTTCCGAGTGTTGCCTCGCAACAAAATCCATTGTTTCAACTCCTATTGGCGTATGTGCTCGACGGAAGCTGGGAAATCAAAATGGGCAAAGCTAAGCCGTTGCTGCGGCGGGCTCGGATTAATAAAATTGGCACGGTGGAGGGGGGTCCCCGGGCGGAGGAGGGCCAGCGAGATTAGAGATTAGGCTGTAATCCAGTGTGGCAGATTATCACGCTCATCCTGCTGTACACATCACCTCTCACACCAAGAGACCACACAATCCCCCAGATTACACGGCGAGGGACGGTGAGGGGCGGCTGCGGGGAATGGAAGTGACGAACAACAAACACGGCACTGCGGGGAGAAGGGAGAGTGATGGGAGGAGAGGAGAATGATTGATGGGTACCAATCTTTTTGAGGGGTGTTTGAGATATCCATCATGAAAGTGGCACAAGCTAAATAATAGCTAAATATAAAATATAGTCATTTTCATGACTCTAACAAAACAAAGAAACCAGGAAGCATTTCTTTAATTATTGGAATAAATGATTTTATTCTTTGATGCGCGGCTGTAAACACAAGTACAACATAACATCGGGAGCATAAAGATGGCTGAGGAGAATGATTGGAGGATAGTTATCAGTTCCTGCTTGTTTCGATATAAACTGATGACACAGTGGGGAGGGATAAAAACGAGCTCAGCGGAATGATTGGAAAGTAGTAATCTGCTTGTGTCCCTGTTCATGTATTTTTAGTGTTGTTGTTTTTATGTCGACTTCAATGCCATGAAGCCATGAAGATAGGCTCTCTCTCCGTTTTGATTTGTCGGCTCCGCGATGGAGTCGGGATCCGGAGCAGGATAACCGTAATCTTACTTTATGAGGGGGGGGGGGGCCCTGCAGCGCGGCGCTAGGTGCTAATTGACACGTCGTGTCATCCGCGTACGGCTAGTGTCTTGTCAAGCCGCACTCGCGCTGCCTTTTATGTTCTCAGTGCTATCTCTCCTGCCGTTTCAGAGATCACCAGGAGCCCTTCTTAGTCCTCCACACATAAAAGCCTCTCTAATTAGTGCTACATTAATTGCCACTCACCCCATGATAATCAACCTCAGGCTGATGTGCTTGCACTCCATCTTTCCCCTTCCCTTTTCTCTATTTCTATATCTGACACGCACACACACACACACACACACACAGGAATTCCTCTGGTTCAGATGAAAGTAGAAGTGCCCAGAGAATAAATTTTCTGTCAGTGGATTCCCTGCCTTAATGAAGCACATTGAAGTTTGAGAATAATATTTCAGTCAACGCGGGCTGCTAGATGTATTAATGATACGAAGTGATACAAACTGACATACAGTAGAGCGGCATATTGCCTCATTATAACGTGACGATGATGAAATGTTGTGGAGCCTGTTGGAACGCCATCTGAGGCCTAAAAAAGAAAAACCCCACGTGCATGAGAGGGGAGTTAGCGCCGAATTGTTTTCACTCCATCCGAGTGGTGTGGTCGGAAAACGGTGCGCAGATGGATGGCATGTGACACAGACAGAGAGGAGGGCTCTTAAAGAGCACATCAATATTCTAGGCTGCGTGCAGAGAGAGCGGAGGGGGAGAGAGGCTGAGCAGTGTGTGTGTGTCTGTGTGTGTGTACAGCAGAGTGTGCATAATGGTATGCATGTATGTGGGAAAAGGAGACGTGTCTGTGGGAGAGATGAGTGTGCGTGTGTGCATGTGATGGACTGGTCCCTGTTACACCGGTCTCATTGATTTTCTCACGCTGGGCTACAGTCTCTGGATGTAACACGCACACGTACCCACCCACATACACAGACACACACACACACACACACACGCAGAGAAAGTATAGATCACTTAGTGAACCCCCCTTCTTGAGCGCCTCACGTTGAGAAAGCCTACCAGCGGCTGTCACTCAGCTCGCATTGGAAACATCTCGGCCAAACGCGGCCGAAGACATTAAACATGATTTCAAGCCGCAGTAAATGTCAATTTTTTATCTTCTTGGTGAACAGACTAGGACTTCTGGTGAAAAAATATTTACCACGACACTTTTGCCAAAGTGTGACCAAAAGGGATTAAACAGGCTTTTTGAGGTATTTGATACTTTGCTTGAGCACTCCCATCTAATGCTCATACAGATACAATTCAGATTACTGAGGCAACTGTAGTCACTGGTTATGAAACATATGGTGAGCATGAGCAATACAACAAATTGTTTTCAATTGAGCCATATTTCCACATGAATGCATCAGAAGTAACATAATGTAATAATAATAATACATCTCTCACAGGGTCCACTTCTAATGCCATTAGATATCCACAGAGATGCAACCAGTATCACCATTACGTGTGTGTACTTTCTCATTCTACTCTCTGTGGTCTTGATCTTCACTGCAATAACAAAGTCCTGCACCTCTATGGAAACGGCACAGTCATGGCTACAAGTAGGGAGAAGTCAAAGATGTCTTTGGTGCAGTATAACACAGTTATCATAGCATGAATTATAAAAAAGAAAAATGAACGCAAGTTGAATTTCTTTGACAATGGAATCTATAGATCCAGCTTTTTTTCCAAGTGCCCACAAGTGTTACCCCTGTTCTGTACCTGATTAAAGCAAACGGTTTATTTAGGGCGAGATGTTAAATGAAAAATCATAATTTTAGGTTCTGTTTTGGT